TCTGTTTATAAGGCTCAGGCTCATCAGCAGATACAAAGCTGCCCACCAGAACCACGGGCCTTTCCTCAGGAACAGAGGTGTCCAACAAGGAGCAGACTAAAAACTTGTGAAGAACCAGGTGTGGTGGCTCACACCTGTAATCCCAGCACTTCAGGAGGCCGAGGCAGGTGGATCACTTGAGGCTAGGAATTCAAGACCAGCCTGGCCAACATGGCGAAACCCCGTCTCTACTAAAAACACAAGTATTAGCCGGGCATGGTGGCTCATGCCTGTAATCCCAGCACTTTGTGAGGCTGAGGTGGGCAGATCACAAGGTCAGGAGTTAGAGACCAGCCTGACCAACATGGTGAAACCTTGTCTCTACTAAAAATAAAAAATTAGCCAGGTATGGTGGCATGCGCCTATAACCTCAGCTACTCAGGAGGCTGAGGCAGGAGAACTGCTTGAACCCGGGAGGCAGAGGTTGCAGTGAGCCAAGATCGCGCCACTGCACTCCAGCCTGCGCGACAGAGTGATTGGTCTCAAAAAAAAAAAAAATCCATGAAAATTAGCCGGGCCTGGTGGCGGGTGCCTATAATCCCACTACTCAGGAGGCTGAGGCAAGAGAATCACTTGAACCCGGGAGGCAGAGGTTGCGGTAAGCCGAGATCATGCCACTGCACTCCAGTCTGAACGACAAAGTGAGATTCTGCCTCAAAAAAAAAAAAAAAAAAAAAAAAAGTTGTGAGGAAAGTTGATACTGGTTCCCTAGAATGGAACCTGATGTTAAAGACAGTGTTTCCAAAGTATTTCTGAAATCTAAAACAGACTGGTCAACATATGATACTTCTCCCAAGGCACCACATGGCCTCTTAAAATGCACCTCTTGGTATTCGACTGAGAGCAAAGGGCTTCTACACCTTTCTAGGCCTCCTCAAACCTGGCTGCATAATTGCCTTCCAAGTTAACTACTCCTGAACAGTTCGGCCTCAAAATGAGAGCATTTTAAATGCAGGCCAAAGTCATTGGGAAATAAGCCTCCCACCCCAAAATACAATAGAACCACTGTCATCAGCCCTGCCTAGCTAACCATTTTCTGCAGCATAAGCAACTAAAGCTGCACACCAATTTATACCTCAGTGATGTTGCTGCACAAATAAGGAAGCATATAATGCCACCTTTGCCTCTTTAATTAGAGAACAGGCTGGACCAGATGGCTGTGGGGTGGAACCTTATAAAAATGATGGACAACCAGAATGAGATTTTCTGCTCTATCAGCTCAGGCTCTAATTTTGACTGCAAGAAGCTTATGGAGCAGAGGATTAAAGCACTGGTGCTGGCTTGTCTTTAGCTAAAGATAGGAGTGGCCATTCAGAGAAGTTTGTTCGTTTTTTAAAAAAGCTACGAACAAATTCTAGTGCTTATATATAAAATATTTATGTATTATAAATACATAATATTTATAATACACAATATTTATGTATTATATTATTATAGTGAAATTAGAAACCTTAGAAATAACTACCTGTCAATAAAGGGAACAAGTAAAGGGATTCGCTTAAGTGGCTGCAGAATACGCTAAGATCTTTTCCAACCCCAGTGTAGGCACAAATGGCCAAAAAGGGAGCAAGAAGAATAAAAATGGTGAGGTGTTTAACAGCAAAATCTCCCTTTTGTCAACCTATTAAGAAGGGCAAATATGACAGCAAAATTCTGTCCAATTTCACTAAGAATCTTATCCTCACTTGTTTACTAACAGCAGCAAAGGTAACCTGGATTCTGATCCCTTGTGCTGACTTGTGTTTTAAAGAGTAGGTGCCTAGGAGAAAGACGACGAGGGAAAAAGTAGGGCGTGAAGCTCAAAAGAAGCCTCAGTGATTCCAGAGAGAACTTCTGACAAAAATGTGAGGAAGGTGTGTGTGTGTGTGTGCGCGCGCGCGCGCGCATGTGTCTGCCTGCTCTAATGTCAGAAGCAAAGGAAGACTTTTGGCTTCCCCCTCTCCCCGCCCCCGAGACGGAGTCTTGCTCTGTAGCCCAGAGCTGGAGTGCAATGGCGCCATCTTGGCTCACTGCAACCTCCGCCTCCCGGGTTCAGCCAACTCTCCTGCCTCAGCCTCCCGAGTAGCTGGGATAATAGGCGCTCAGGACCACACCCAGATAAGTTTTGTATTTTTAGTAGAGACGGGGCTTCACCATATTGGCCAGGCTGGTCTCGAACTCCTGACCTCGTGACCCGCTCGCCTTAGCCTCCCAAAGTGTTGGGATTACAGGCGTGAGCCACCGCCTAGCCAGAATTTTTTTTTTTTTTTGAGACGGAATTTCACTCTTGTTGCCCACGCTGGAGTGCAGTGGCGTGATCTCCGCTCACTGCAACCTCCGCCTCCCAGGTTCAAGCGATTCTCCTGCCTCAGCCTCCTGGGTAACTGGGATTACAGGAATGCGCCACCACGCCCAGCTAATTTTGTATTTTTAGTAGAGACGGGGTTTCTCCATGTTGGTCAGGCTGGTCTCGAACTCCCGACCTTAGGTGATCCGCTGCCCGCCTCAGCCTCCCAAAGTGTTGGGATTACAGGCGTGAGCCATCGCACCCGGCCGGAAGATTTTTTAGAAAGAAAATTCTGTTTCAAAGAGGGAAAGGAGGGATAATGGTGATGGAATCCACTGAGACCCAAACCTAAAAAAATATTCAGACACCTCTAAGTCTTAAACGTGCAAACTGTCCTACAGTGACGGACTACAGGACTCAACTGAGCGTGCAGGGGCCAGTAGGTGTCACAGACCGGGTGGATGCCCGGGCAGTGAGAGCCAAACGCAGGCAGCTCCTCTCCTTGGTGAGACACGGGATCCGCCCCAACTCACTGGTCCCAGAGGCAGTGGCCCAGACGGGCGGGTGTGGATTGAAAGGCTTCCAGGACTGGTGCCGACTGACTGCACCACCACGCCCAGTCTCACATCATCTCCCCCAGACATAGACCGGTCAACTCTAGGTCTGACTACAAGGACCCTTTCGGCTAAGAAGATCCTTTCTAGGGCACTCCATGTTCCTGAGAAGCCAGGAAAACTCGACTCAACCCAAACGTAGGCGGAGAGGCCAGCGGTGAGGGCGCGCTCTGCACTCTGGGAATTGTAGTCCTCGAACGCCTCCGGACCAGGCGGTAGCGAGTGACCTACTTTCTCTGCACACTACACTTCCCTGAGTACTTTGCGAAGGCCCAAGTGGCCGCAATACGCATGCCCGGTAAGGGGAGCCGACCGAGGGTCGAAGAGCCCAGGAAAAGTTTCCGATGCACATGCGCACTGTGGCGGGCCGGCGCCCCCCTCCCATCGCCTAATACATTTCATATAGATTCTACTCCAAAGGCCTACTCCCCGTATTGTATGGCCCCACCACATCCTCTAGGCTTTACGAGAGCCTAACTTTCCCACCTTTCCCTTCATCGCCTTCCATCACTGTTGAAACTAGGATCTGCTTCTAATGAGCTTTTTCTGGGTGAAAGGGGTGGGCTGGCTTAGATAAGGTCACGACCCCCTTTCCCGCACTCAATCTGAATTCCAGGGCCTGGGCGGTCCATGTGGGGTTACTGGATGGACAGTGGGTTCAAAGGGAAACGGGTCTTTTTCACTTAATGCCTAGCGGACTCGGCTCCAGCGCCCCAACAGCCAGGAAAGGAAAGGCAGGAATCAAACCCAGTCTCCCGTCCTCTCGGCCAAAGAAATTTCCAGTCAAGCTGTGGGGAGGCGCCAGGCCAAGGCCAGCAGGGCCCAAGCCTCACCCCATTTCTAATCCAAGTCTGAGTAACCAGATCCGGGAGAGGGAAATAGGAAAAGGTTCCCAGGCAGAGAAGAAAAAGCTGTACACCTGACACCTGAGCATCTTCTCATACTAAAATTCTGTGTGTCTCCTCCCATTGCAAGGTCTGCTCTACGACCAGACTTACCAGATCTTCGGCAAGCTCCCCTACTGGGTGTTAAACCTCCTTAATCCTTCCTCCCACACAAGCTTCTTTCCCCTATGCTTCACGGAGGAATGGGGGCAGAAGCCCAAGAAAGAAATAGGATTGTTTTTCTGCCGGAAAATCAGAGTTGAAGGACCCATTCCCAGGGTAGGGTGGGTAAGAAGGAGAAAAAGACCGTTTAGATACGGAGTAGCACCAGAGACTGGCCTCCACCGGTCCCAAGTTGAAGCTTGCTGTGCGGGGTTCTGGTTTCTCCTGGGGGAGGGAGAGGGCCTGCCGGCTATGCCTCCTCTCTGCACCCTTCTTCCCCTCCCAGATTTCTGGTGGTCAAGGGCACAGTTCATCCTCTGGACAGGAGGGGAAGGAGTTTGGGGATAGGGCCCCACCTCGCAGGCACCTTACCAAGATAAGCAGAATCCACTCACTAGCACTGCTCTAAGGGTACTTTTTCTGCCCAATTTTCCATTAAAACACTGAAGAATATAAAGAGCTCAAGCCGAAATGGTGAACTCTGGCTCAGTGGCCCAAGGACAATCTCCACTGACCTGTCCCCTCGCCAAAAGGGGTGTCCAACCTCCACCCTTCAGGCTCCACAGAGCCAGAAATAGAGCCTATTAACAATTACCACCCCCCTTCCCTGCACACGGGAAAAGAAGCAGAAAAACAAGGCCTGGATCCCCTTCCTTCCTCGGATTTATTTAACGGTGGGGGGAGTTATGTTTCTTTGAAGAACAAGGAACATCTAGCGAGTAGCTGGGATATAAAGAACTGGGGGAGGCGGGGAAGGGAGGAAATGCACCCCACCCAGGAGAGGGCCACTCTTGGAACTGGGAGAAAAGGGAGCTCTTGGGCACCCCAGGAGCAGAGATGGCGTGAGAAGAGGAGCAGGGGAAAGTGGGATCTAGAGGGAAGCTGGATGGCGAAAGAAAATGCTGGCCAGGCGGGAGGGAGCGGCAGCAACGTGGAGAATCCAGCAAAGCGGGAGTGGGGCGGGGTGGGAGAGGCAGTTCGGCCGGCTGGGTCTCGGGGCGGGCCCCCCGCCCGCACACCCCCCAACTCACTCACTCGGGTCTCCGCGGCGGCGGGGCGCTCTGTCGGCCGCAGGGCGGCTTCTCCCTCCAGGGTGGTCCTGAGCACGGGGCGGAGGTCGCTCTCCCTTCCTTCCCGGGCGCCGCCGGGCCGGGGGGCCGAAGTCCTTTTCGTCGTTGAGGGTTGGGGGACGAAGCAGGGGGCTATGGACTATGACTCTCAAGAATTTCTTTCAGCTCTTAGGAGGTCGGGCTCTGCGGCTGGGGGCCGGAGGGCGGGCGAGCGGGCGGACCAGCGGCTACGACGCGGGGATGGCGGACCGGAGGGTGGTTCGTGTCGCGGAACGGAAGACGGTCTGGGCTGTCGCCGGCGGGCGGTCCTGCCCTTCTGGCCCCGCGTCGCCCGAGCCACTGACTTGCCTCGGCCAACAACCCGCACCTTCCCGCGCCCCGGCCCGAAGTGAGCAAAGTCAATGAAAAGTTTCACCCTTAGCAACCCTGCGCACGGATCCGGCTTCCCCACCCCTGCGTGATGCGTCCCTCCGCCCTGCAGGGGAGGGGCCGGGGCCCGGCCGGGACTACTTCCCAGCTACCCCGCGCCTCAGCTCGTTGGTGCTGTGCTCTCAGGTGCTGCGTGCGGGTCCCCTCCGTCCCCTTCCCGTCACAGCGCCGCGCCGCACTCCTTTCCTTCATTCCCATACCACTCTCTGAACTTGTGCGCATCGTGTGAGGTGTTCTCCAGGGGCGCAACGTGAGGGCTGGGGGCAACCTGGGGCCGGGTTGCTCACGGGCCGAGCACAGTGCACTCTCCCTTTAGTTGTGTTTGGGGGACCAGTATAGCGGGGAGGGGAGGGCGTCGCCTTGCCCTTCGGAACCCCCTGCTGCGTCGTCCGCCCTGCACCTGCCTCGGCGCCCAGGGTTCGGACGTTTACCCGAGCCGTTTCCCGGGGCCTTCCCTCCTGCTCCGAGCGTCTGGCCGTGTCCACGGCGATCCCATCGCCCCAGTTACGGTCTCTGCGGGAGGGGGAGCCGAGGGGACTACGCGGGCTCCGGAAACGTTTCGGACTCGTTTCGGGCAGGCCTGAGTCTTCCGAACGCCTTGTGCTTCCTCGGGGGACTCAACGTCGAATGAAAGGCGAGGGGGACTCTGGGGCCTGGGCCACGCTGTGCGGGAGTAAGAGGAGGCGAGGATGAGGCCGACGGCCGTGAAACGAGCCGAGCGCCACAATGGACCTTCCCCTCACCGCCTCTGGCTCCGGCTCTGCGAGGGCGCGCGGGCGCAGCTCCTCTCCCAACTCTTGTTTGCTCTCTCTGGCCAGCGACCCCAGTGTGGGGCACGCGGGAGAACCACATTTCTTCTAGTCAGTCCCGCCGGCGTGGGATGGTCCCTGACCGTGCAACGGGCGCAAGGCTCGCACCCACTACGGCCCCTCGAGCGGTGGAGCGAGGCTCCGCGAACCCGGGACCGGGCGCGCCAGGCCCGCGCGCTGAGGCCCCCTGCCCCGGCTCTGGCCACGCGGGCTGCTCTGCCTCTTTGTGACTGTGCGGGACACAGAACCAGGGATAGGGAGGGTCGTCTTCTGCGGTCACAGGCGGACAGGAGTGCCGGAAGATGCAGTTTGGAGCCCCCGGGGGACTATGAGTGAGGTCTTCTCCCCAGTCCCTCCTTAGATCGCCCATTCCCCAGTTCTCCCCTCCCGCCCCCACCTTTTTGGTCACGCCAGACGGTTCCGGCCCAGCAGCAGCCGCCAACCCCACGTTGGGTGGCGAGATCCGAAAGTTTCCAGTTTGCTTTTTTTTTTTCTTGATCGCTTTTTTTGGCAAGGGCGGAGAGCACCGGTAGCGTGGGGGGTTTAAATGCGCTTTCCCTGAATGCAACAGAAACAAGCCGGGCTGGAGGGCAAACTCCACCGGGACAGGGAGGCGGGAGGGAGCCTGAGCGCCCCCCATCCCCCACACTTCTGAGCGCCACAACCCCGGGGGCACCTCCAGGGACTACTTGCTTTGTGCGTCAGGGAGTGACAGCGTCACACACACGCCCCCTCCCGCACAGCCCCGCTGCACCCTCCCTTTCCTCCTACCCTCCCCTTCTCTCTTTTCCCCTAGATCTTCCACCAGGCAGAGAGGCTCAGCCGACCCACTCGCTCCCAGAGCACTGAAAGCTAAAAATATAGCAGGCGTGTTAGCAACAGCCTTCCCATTGGTCGGGGGAAAGGGAGAAGCGGTATCTGATTGGGTTTAGGATCCAGCCGCTAAGACTGGGCCCTTGAGAGTGTGCGTTTGCGCCAGCGGGCAAGGCAAGGGATGCTGGTATTTGTAGTCATTAAGGCAGCCATGAAACTAGGTGGGTTTACACCCCAGTTCTGCTACCTACTGTGTGATCTTGATTTAATGCAAAACGCTTGACATCACCAAACCTCAGTTTCCTCATCTATAAAATGGAGCTCGTGTGGGGGATTAAATATGATGCTGTATGTAAAGCCTGGCTCAAATCGTTGCTATTCTTAAAGTTTAGTGTTTGGGCCAAATTGCCTCTGCATATCCTGCATATCCTGTGCTCAGTATGGTGTGCGCTCTCCAATGTGGAACTTCTGACAACTGTAAAGGTGAAGGTGAGCTGAAGCGAGTTGTCCTATGGCATCTTAGGAGGGACAGCTGGAGTATATGTAAGCAGTTAAAGGGTAGACGTCTTCTACCATTCCGGACAGGCTGAGGGAGGGCGGACTGAACCCTTAGAAGGAAGGCCATGAATTTCTGCGTGTTTGTGCGTTTAATAGAATCTCTTCTGCAACGCTGGAAAGATACCAGCCCTGAGCAGCAGCAGCATCATTAGAATGAAATGAGAAATCCAGACTCCTTGGTGGGAGCTCTGGGTAAAAGGTTAGCATGTAAGTAGGAAAAGATAAAATCGAGGGGAAAAAAGGTAACCACCTTTCTCAACTGCTGATGTCTCTATCATGTGGTGAGGAAGAAGTGTTTTTTTCCCTTCCCAGTGTGTGATTACATCTTGCCAGGGCTTAATTGTGAGCTGAATGCCTACTCAGGCATTCCAGATTCCCCTCCCATTTTGAATAATCATATGTTGACAGGCATGCACCGTGCTTGCAAAATGGTGAGCTCCGTGAGCAAGCAAGTTAGGTAGGGAGAAGGTGGGGGCACATCCCCTGTCTGAGAGTAAGCAAGATGTGGCGCCATGACAAGTCAGGCTGGTCATAATTGGCCCCAGTTAACTCGCATAGATGCGTCACCCTTTCGTACACACTCCAGGGCAAGAAATTTTGTATTGTTTCTTTGAAGTTATCCAAGAAAATAGTTCCTCAATTTGATTTCTTCAGCAGATGTAAAGACAGAAACTGGTTTTGGGGAAGTGTGGTTGCCTACTTAAGAAAAATGATTTTTTTAAAAAAATTTTATTTATTGTTTGTTTATTATTTATTTTGAGACAGAGTCTTGCTCTGTTGCCCAGGCTGGAGTGCAGTGGCATGATTTCGGCTCACTGCAACCTCCACCTCCTGGTTTCAAGTGATTGTCGTGCCTCAGCCTCCTGAGTAGCTGGGATTAGAGGCATGTACCACCACACCTGGCTAATTTTTGTATTTTTAGTAGAGTCGGGGTTTCACCATGTTGGTCAGGCTGGTCTCGAACTTCTAACCTCAGGTGATCTGCCTCCCTTGGCTTCCTGAAATGCTTGGATTACAGGCATAAGCCACCATGCCTAGCCTACAAATGATTTTTTATGTATTCACCAATACTGTGAAGTCTAGTAAACAAGGTAAGTAAACCTGTCTTGCTAAGATGCTAAAATGCAGTGTTCAAAGAAAGTAACATTTTAGCTTTGGTGGTCTCAACAGGCCCCTCTAGACAGAGCTGATAAGGAACTGAGTGACTGGGAACAGGTGGAAATAATCAGTCTTTTAAGACAGGAAAATTCCAGGCAAGGCAAAGAATCTTTTCCTTCTATATCCTTGCTTCAAACTATAATAAAAAAGCTACAGGTCTGGCTGTGCGCGGTGGCTTACGCCTGTAATCCCAGTACTTTGGGAGGCCGAGGCAGGCGGATCACCTGAGGTCGGGAGCTTGAGACCAGCCTGACCAACATGGAGAAACACCGTCTCTACTAAAAATACAAAATTAGCCAGGCATGGTGGCACATGCTTGTAATCCCAGCTACTAGGGAGGCTGAGGTAGGAGAATCGCTTGAACCTGGGAGGCAGAGGTTGCAGTGAGCTGAGATCACACCATTGCATTCCAGCCTGCGCAACAAGAGCGAAACTCCGTCTCAAAAAAACCCCAAAAAAACGCTACAGGCGCCTGGTGGCTCACACCTGTAATCCCAGGACTCTGGGAGGCCAAGGAGGGTGGATCACAAGGTCAGGAGATTGAGAACATCCTGGCCAATGTAGTGAAACCCCGTCTCTACAGGCTGGGCACCGTAGCTCACGCCTGTAATCCCAGGACTTTGGGAGGCCAAGGCAGACAGATCACCTGAGGTCACGACTTTGAGACCAGCCTGGCCAACATGGTGAAACACCGTCTCTATTAAAAATACAAAAAAAAAAATAGCTGAGCGTGGTGGCAGTTGCCTGTAATCCCAGCTACTCAGGAGGCTGAGACAAGATAATTGCTTGAACCCGGGAGTCAGAGGTTGCAGTGAGCTGAGACTGCACAATTACACTCCGGCCTGGGCAACAAAGTGGGACTCTGTCTCAAAAAAAAAAATCCCTTCTCTACTAAAATACAAACAATTAGCCGGGCATGGTGGTATGCGCCTGAGGCTGAGGCAGGGGAACTGTTTGAACCCGTGAGGCGGAGGTTGCAGTGAGCTGAGATCCTATCACTGCACTCCAGTCTGGTGACAGAGCAAGACTCCATCTCAAAGCAAAAAAAAAAAAAAAAAAAGCTACAGGTCAGAATAGAGTGACACATAGTCTCTCTGAAATTTAGTCAGTTCAGTTTGATTCCCTGGGAAGTTCATTTTAATTTAGAAGCTGCTAATTGGCAGGCCAAGGTCCACATCTGGCAGATGTATTTTCTTGGCATATACTGACATATTACGGTTTTAAAAGTGAGTTGCCAATATTGAAAATTTGGGATGTTGTACAAAAATATCTTAAATTGCTACTTGTCCTAAATTCAAAATATCTGGCAACACTGGGCATTCAAACTGGCAGCAATTGTCTGGAGTTGAATAGCAGCTGTCTCCTTTAGACAGGGCTTGTGTTCTTTGGTTGCCTAAGGTCCCCACCAAGTCCCCTATTGTGTCCCAGACACAGAGGCTGAGGGTCACATACCATTTATCATCACACTTGGGCTATTATTCTTTTACCCCTCCCTTTTCAATCAATGATATTACTCACCCAGACTCCTGAGTTTGTGACCCCTTTTTCAGTTTAATTTAGCAAGTAATTGTTGGAGTGGTTGCATATTGTATGCCCTGGGTGGAAGGAGAGGCAAAGGGAACTCAAGGATCTTATTCATGATCTAGTTAGTTGTTGCTATTGTTTTTTTAATAGAGACAGGGTTTTGCTAGGTTTATTGGCCAGGTTGGTCTTGCCTCAAGCAATCCTACCACCTCCCAAATTGCTAGGATTACAGGTGTAAGCCACCGCACCT